AACATATACGACTTCGGCCTCTTCGGGCCGTACCGTGATACCTATCAGACTTCTTGGGGTCTCTTGGAGGCCACCTGGAAGCCTCGAGAGCCGTCGGAAGGCTGACTTGGGCTGCTCGGGAGCGTCTTGGGCCATCCTTTCGCATTCTGGGGGCTCCTGGGGGGCGTCTTGGGCCCTCCTGGAGCGCTGTGGAGGCTGCCCGGAAAGGCTGGGGCAGCGGTGCCGGGAGCGTCCCCGAGATGTGGCCATATCTTTTCAGCGCGTTCCGGGAGCATCTTCCCGGAACGCGCTCGTGGCAGGGCGCCCACGTCCGAGGACGTTGGCATGGGAAACCGCAGCGCGTGATCATTCCAGCGCGTTCCGGCGAAGACCGTCCGGAACGCGCTTGGGCAAGCGCTGGGTTTGGGGAAGGCGAGTGGAGACCGTTCAGGCAGTTTGGGATGCTCGGGGCAAGAGGGGGAAGCCATCCTCATAAGACATGCAGTCTTCTTGGAGCCGTCTTGCAGAAAACACAGAAAAACTGAGACCCTGCATTCGTTCCTGGAGCCGTCTTGGAGCCCTCTTGGGCTGCCCTGGAGCCTGTTGGAGCCCTCTGCGGAATGGTCTTGGAGCCCGCGCCGAGGATCTGGAAAATGTCCGGAGCATCGCGGCGGCCTTCGAGGCCCGGGACGCCGAAACCGCGTAAAAGCACAGCGAAAATGAGCCCCGGTACTGGAGGGTCGGGCAGCTGTTTTCGGGCCCCTGGGCTAGAACCATCGCGCGCGCTTCGCGCGCGATCAGGTTCTAGCCCAGGCCAGGGGGGCGCTGGACGATCTTGGACAACGATATCAAGCACATGCGCGCGACGGCATCTGAGGAGCTTCTGGGGTGTTCCGCATGCTTCGTCAACCGGCTGATGGAGGCACCTCTTGCGTGCTTCTTGGAGGGGCGTCTGAGGGTCCCTTGGGGGCATCGGTTCTGCGATCTGAAGCTTCGACTGGCCGTCTTGGCTGCGTGGAAGCCCGACTTGAGGCCACCTGCGGCCAGATTGAGGCAATCCGGAAGCCTCCCGGGGGCCTCATGGAAGCAGTTTTGACGCATCGAGGGCACTCTTGGGCTATTTTAAAGCCTCTTGGACGTCTCCTAGGGGCCTTTTAAGCTCTCGGGAAGCTTTTGGGGTCCTCGTCGGACCACTTGGGGGCCTCTTGCGGCCTCCTGTGGGCCTTTTGGGGGGACCGCTCTGCTGTTGGGTCGCGTTCCCCTTCTTGGGCCTCTCTTGGGGCTCTTGGGGCCCTCTCGGGCCGTCTTGGGCGCCTCAAGCACCGTCTTGGGGCCCTCGCGGGCCGTCTTGGGGATTTTTTGGAGGCCTCTTCGTCTATATGAGAGCGGTATTGGAAGCCTCTTGGGCCGTCTTGGAGCATCGGGATGCCAAAAGGCCGAACAAATTAAAACCCGTCAAAGCCCAATCGTAAAACTATGAGTTGTGCCTCTTGGGGCCACCTTGGGAGATCTCTTGGAACCTCGTCGGCCCTCTTGGGAGCTTCTTGGGGGCCTCTTGGATCCGATTGGGGGCCTCTTGGGACTTCCCGAGAACCTCTCGGGGTAGAAAGCTCGGATTCTCGGTTCGTGTTTCCCTTCTTGGGCCTCTCTTGGGGCCGTCTTGGGGCCCTCTCGGGCCGTCTTGGGCGCCTCAGGCACCGCCTTGGGGCCCTCGTGGGCCGCGCAGGGCCCTCTTGGAAGCCTCTTCGGCTATCTTGGAGCTGTCTGGGAGGCCTCTTCCTCCTCCTCGTCCCCATCCTCCTCCTCCCACTCCAACTCTCTCTCCTCCTGATCTTCCTCCTCCTCCTGCAGCGTGTTCCGGAAGGCTCCCGCCAGAACATGCTGTGCACAAGTGCTGTCACTGCTCCCGCCACCGTGCCCTGGGTGGTGGGTCAGAGGCCTCATGGGTGTTGGTTTGGATCTCGTGGTTGGCCTGTCGGGGACGTCGTGAAGGCAATTTCGCAGCTTCTCGGTAGCCGTTTTGGGACCGTTGTGGGGCCTCCTCGGGGCTGTCTTGTGGCCTCTTTAGGCCTCGTTTGGGCCTCCTGGGTGCCTCTTGGGGGCCTCCTGGGGCCTCTTGGGGGCTCCTTGGGGCCTCCTGGGGCACTCTTCAAGCGGGAGGGTCGAATTTTGGAGTCGTGGTCCCCCTCTTGGGCGCATCTTGGGGCCGTCTTGGGGCTCTGTTGGGCTGTCTTGGGCGACTCTGGGGCCGTCTTGGGGCCCTCTTGGGCCGTCTTGGGGCGCCCTTGGGGGCCTATTGAGCCGTCTTGGAACGTCGGACAGCCGAAAAGGCTGGCAGGCCAAAATCGTTCGAAAACCTTCGTACAATTGACGATTTCGGCCTCTGGAAGCGCTCTGGAGAGGCGTCTTGAAGCGTCGTGGAGTGCCTTGGGGGGCCTCTCGGGCCGTCTTGGGCCTATCTTGGGCGTCCTGGAGCGGTCTTTCGGCGACTCGGGGCCCGCTTGGGCCGTCTTGGGGGCCT